CAAATAGAGAAAACAACTGTGATTGTATTTCACCATGACTACAATCATTCATTATGGAAAGCCCCACGCCGTCAGTTACTTAGAGCCACAGTGACTATATCTCCTTCCTGATCTGTGTGGGCGCTATCAGTCAGACCCTAAACGACCTTTCATGCTCCCACATCCAGAATATATCAGGCGCCAACTGACGGTCCATTCAGAGAACAAACAAGCAGAGTTCAACAAAATCACCTGACAGGAACTCTCCCCCCGAATAATGAATATGAATGACTTTAGGTAATGGGAGAAAACGAGGAGAAAATGGAAGACTTTTAGAGACTTAATTCAGCCAAATGGTCAGAAGATTTGAGCAAAGAGACTATAAATCAGAAATATTCAAATGCATACAAATAAAAAAACTGAAACTAATAATGATTGCATATCTGTAACAGCTGTTATTGTATCGTTTTGGTATCAAATCAAGTTTTTGTTGTATTATTGTCAATATAATACCTAATAAACATCAAATATCTTACATTAAAGGGGCCTTATTATGCTTATTGGGAGTCCCACCCAAAAAACAACCTATAAAACAAATGTTTTCGACACATTTCAGTTTGTATTTGGAAGGTTTCTGTGTTTTCCTCTGCTTTAATGTCGGTGCTTTGTTAATGTATTTTCAACCCTTAGGCTCTTGTATCTACATGTATTCAGTGTCATCACGGCTTCTCTTTTAGATTATAGGATTAGGACTGACTGTGAAAATAGCTTTTCTAGTGAAATCCTCCAGTGTTTCAGCTGAGATTATGAAGAACAGACTTTAAAGGTTCCTTGTTGCTTAGGGCTCCATATCATTTCTCTATCTCCCTCTCTTACCTCATCTTTTAAGTGGAAATATGTGGCATGCTGTGCTGGGTGGATACAAGCACGCTGCTCAGAGTAAATCTATTTTGAAAAGAGAGAGACACCCAGCCCTATTATAAGGAAAACATTGTTTTTAAACTCTATCTCCCCGCATCTTCAAATGCATTTTGTTTTATTGCTTTTGCTCTTTACCCTCTAGATGTCAAAGAAATGTATAACTGTAATTATGTTTCCTTGTTGTGTCTGCTGCGTCAACAGAGGTGTCTCCTTCTGCCTGCTGCACAGACACTCGTGAACGTTGTTGTTTTGCCAGCAGCCTCCTGTCTGCAGTGCACTGTGTGTTGCATTGTGGGAAGGCTACCTGACTGCTCTTTTTCAAATGCAGCAGACTGCCGCGTTTGTGACGAGTCTGGCTGCAGTCAAGTCTTGTGTGTTGTTTCTTTTTTTTTCACTTGTGGGAGTCTGCCCCTCCTGCGGAGATCTCCGGAGGTTTTCAGAGGTCTGGTCTGGGCTGACTGGAGCGTTTTATGCACCTTGTGTTTCCTCCATTTCTCCCTCTGGCTCGTTAAAGTCTAAATTCCACCGACAGCTTTGAAGTGAATGTGTTTGTGTGTTTTTTTCTTTTTATTATACTTGGAGATATTTGCACTTGTTGCGCCTGCAAAGCAGATGTTTTGAAGGAACAGTGCTTTGCTAAGGAGATTACATTCATTTTGTACACTTCTTTTTGATAAACACTACATGCAGAGAATGTGTGAGCTGAGGCTGCTGTCCTCTTTGTGTCCAGTCCTTAAAAATCTCCAGTAGTCGGGTGTGATACGATCCCATAGCCTGCTGCTCTTCACAGCCCCTGGGACGAGAGGAGGACAAAGACTGATACATTGACTGTAGTCTGCAATCATCTTGTCAAAGCAAAATGAAAAAGGAGCACTGCTGCCTTTAATCCGCTTGTTGAGCCCTACAGTAACATTTTCTCCTCTGCTTTTCAAAACTCCATTGAAGTGGTACCTGCTCTGAGAGTTGCAGATTCCCAACCAGGTGTTTATCTCCCCCCCCACCCCCCCCACCCCAAACATCCATCCCAGCACACTCCACTGGGGTTAATCCAGAAACTGCTGTCACAGCACTGTCCTTGAAGTACCTCGAAGATTCTTATTGCTGTCATGTTTACCTTCAACATGTCATATAATCCTGCAAGTGTGCGCCATGGAGTATCGCTAAATGATTCAAACAGCCATATACATCCATGTGTAACGCTTTGGCACGGTTGGGAACATTGTACATGGTTAATTGCTGGTCTGAGGGAGTCTGAGGACCTTGTCTTGAAATATTGACCTGTCAAACACAGTTCTGCGCGGCCGTCTCTGGTCGTTTCACTTCAGTCCCCTTTGTCACTTTTCCAGTCGCTGGTGGACATTCTTGTGGACACAATGTCACCCTTTTCCCCCAAAGCCTTTGTGCCTCATTCTTACATAAACAAAAAGAGTTTTCAGCATCTGTTGTGCGTGAGGTTTTCGTGCCAGTCAGACAGTTGACATTGACTCCAAAACAATGCCCGTGTGAGGTCTTTATCAGGGTGGCTTCAGTTCATGATGGCAGTTTTGAGTGGTTCCCCTCTATATCGGGCTGGGTGATATGACAATAAATATAGATAATTTCCTATCTTGATAACAATGGATGTCATGATATAGCATGTTTTCTGGTTATTCATTAAATACATCTTCAATTTGAGATAACTACATTGTGAACACATTTTTTTGGGGGTGAATTAAACAATTTTCTAATAAAAGATTGTCAGTATTCTCTCCTCCAATTCTTTTTTTTGTTGCAAAATGATCGTAACAGTAACGTAAAATTGTTGCAATGCATATTTACAACTAAACACCGAATGTTGTGTAAAAACAAATGATAAATGAAGGAGTATTCCCTTTCAAAATAAATCATTCCATTGAAAGACGATATATGTTTTTATTAAATGATAGCCCATAGCTGATCCCTACCATTAGATCTCAAAATGAAATCATGACACGCTTAAGTAAAATAATCTTGTTTTTCAGTTTTTTTCCTTCGTCACTGGAGGGAACCTGCTGATATCAGGCGAGCAGCTTTCAATATGCAAATGTGTGACAGGAAAAGACACAAAACAACGAAAAAGCTCCAGAGATGTTCAGAGGCGAGACAGAATCAGGGGACACAACGCTCCACGGTCTCTGAGCTTGTTGTCAGACTTTGTAGGGTCCACAAAGCGAGACTCCATTGTTGCTCACAGACAGACAGGACATGCTCCTGTGTAATATCTAACTCGTCTTCGTGGGGAGACAGCATCACTGAGTTCTCTGCTAAATGGAGTTTGCATTCATATTTAAATGTGTTACTCAACACAAATATGATCGTTCCAATTTTCTAGAGTTCGAACCAAATTAAGTATTTGTGTCGTATGGATTGGTCATTGGAAAATGTTACTAATTGTGTGTTTACATGCTGCAAGAATTTAGGAAGCATCACACTTTGAGCTCTGTATGAAAGCAGGTTTGAGTTAAACTGCACTTGAAAAAAGAACAAGGGTGTTTGGTAATGTCACATGCTTTTCATTTGTTATGTCTCAGACCAATATTGACAGCTACTTTGGTCACAATCCTTGCTCTTGTCTTTTCCTAATGAGCTTCTTTTGTCCCATACGGTCAGATGGCAGCAATTCCAATTAGACTGAAAATCTTCGGGGGGAGATTCTTCATACTTGCAACGGAAATTGCTTTTGATTGTGGTTTTACTTCCGTTTGTCAAATTTGTTTAAACTCAGAAACGTGGAAATTAAACAAGAGTAAGTCGGTTTGAATCGCAATGAAAAACAAATCCCACATGGGATATAGTCTCCTCAAGGCTTTTTTGGCACTTCCTAATTATAACGGTGAGTTTAAGGCCTTGCATGTTTAATCACTGTGCTGGATTTCTTTTAAGATTGCTTACTATTTGACGAATACAAAGTGGATCAAAGGAGGCAGGCGGATAATATGATCAGGAAAGGTATCAACATCCATCTTCCATCTGTGTGGTCTGTGATCAATCTGTGATTGTTGGCCTATTTGTGTCAAACATCCCCAGGTCTCGCCTCACAAACATTTTAGAGTTCAGTCGTTTTTGATGTGATGGGCTGCAACAACGGTGAAAACCAAGAGGGTATAAAAAAGTAAAACTCAGAAGTAGAAGTTGATGCTGCTTGCATTGTTTGATGAAAATTAGACCAAAGTTCGACCCGAGTAGAAGTCTGAAACTGAAAACTTTGTAGCATTAATTTTAGCTCATGCGCTAATATCCCTTTTGTTCATGTATTCATTGATTTAACAGGGGCAGTGCACATTAATCAACATTTCTGTAAATGTTAGCCAAGAGGTTGTTTTTCATCTGTAGTCCCTTTGTGCTCTGAAGGGGTTCAAATTAAACCTGCTTTTAATGTAGATCTAAGGTGTTGGACTTGGCCTCCTTCCAGACTTTGTCATTAGTCAAATACCTTCTGGAAAGGCGCTTCATAACAAAATAATAAAAAAAACGTTTCTTGGCACATAGAATTGAGGAAATATGATTTGTTTCGGCACACGCAGTCACACATGCAGAAAATGTTAAATCCCGTATCTGATGCAACTTGTCCCTTCTGACACGGTACATTTTCTAGATTCCAGCTCCCTTTAGCTAGGACTCAAAACATCTCTGTCCCTTTCACCCCTCCTCCCCTCCCTCCCTCCCTCCCTCTCTCCCAACTCCTCCTCCTCTTCTCTTTTCTTCAGAAGCCAAATTGAAGTCTTGGCAAATCACACCAAAACATTCACACAGAGGTTTAAGATTCTTTTTGAGTGTGTCACTGGGGATTGTTCTTTTGTTTGCCTAAATTGTTCAAGTTCTATCATCACAAACATGATGATATAACTGGATGAGGCACATGACTGTTCGAGGCATGCAGGGTATGTTTTGTTTCTTAAAATACAGACCAGACACAAATCATGCAATGAATCTAAAAGGAAACCTGGACATGACGCTCAAAATGACAAAAAACACCCTCATATTTGCACAGGAAATGCTAATAATTAGCATATTAGACAGATAGCATCTCGGTTGATGTGTGTGACTGATTGTTTTTTCACTCTCCACTTTTCTCCCTACAGTGCCTGGGAACTTGGGCTGCTTCAGAGACAGCGGCGACCCACCCACTTTGTCCGGCAGCAGCGAGACCTCCAACAAACTCACCATCCAGAACTGCATTAGCTTCTGTAGGAAGCAGAGATACAAGGTGAGAAATGCTTAAAGGTCACCTATTATGCAGAATCCACTTTATACATCAACATGTGTCCCCTCTGTGTAAAGAGACTCTGAACGTTTCAGGAAAAAAGATTCTCTCTCTTTTTGTCCTGATCCATTTATATAAAAACCTGTCTGAAAATGAGCTGATCAGATTTTGGCCACTTTATGATGTCATAACGATTTGTTTAACCATTAGCCTATAACCAGGGGTGCACATAACTGGTACGCAGGTACGCATGCACGGCAACAATCTAAAATGCGTACCGTCACTTGTGTCACAAAGCACATTTGCGTACTGACGTACTTGTGAAGCTTTTCCTGAAGGCGGTGAGATCACCGGACGACAGAGTCGGTCTCCGTGTGCACAGACAGGGCTGCTGTTAAAAAACTACGCCAACCGGCTGCGGAGGGAGACTCCCCCCCTTCACTGGAGAACTGCGCTAAAACAGCTGATCACAACGTTCACGCTCTGTAGTAACGAAGCACTCCACTAGCCCAACCCCCCGTCAAATAACTTTGAGTGGAGTCAGAAGTTGGAGTACCAAACACGACTCCAGGTACTCATCTGAGTACTTCACTGAGAAAGTTATGTGCACCCCTGCCTATAACCAACCAAGGTAACCCCTCCCCACCTTATCACCTGAATCTCCTCCTAGAGCTCCATTGTGTTCTTTTTTAACCAAATATCTTCCTTATTTTCATCTAAAGTACAAACAGAGGGGATTATGGGATGCTACAATGGGTGATCTGTTTGGTATTTTGAGCCAAACACTTCAGAGACATGTTTTGTATATATCTGAGACCTATAATATATTGATGAAAAACAGTATAATAGGGGACCTTAAATAACAAACTCGTCCAAGTTTATATCTGAAGTCAGCTTCTGTAGAAGAAGAGATTCAAACGTCTACTGAAATTCAAATGTGTCCTCCTCATTTTTTCATGAATGAAAAAGTGTCTAGTCAATTGCCCACGTCATGTCTAAAATGGACCCGAGCTGGCTCTAGCCATAGTCAAGCTTTTATGTTAATCGTCGGGCATTTACGGGCAATTTCCTGACAGCTATCACAATGGTCCCCAGTGCAGTCTATGCCCTCTTTATTCAGCCATCAAACTTCCTGTTTCGTACCAACCAGCAGATGACAAATCATCACCGCAATCAAGGCTGACAGCTGGAAATGAATGGTTATTAGCTCGGTGGGGCCCTCCTCCTCAATGCGTTTTTTGTCTCTCATCTCTGTATCTGGCATGCCATTGTCCCAACTATAAGCAGTGCCAGGTGTTCATTTTCTGTCCCAGCAGATCCGTTTCAGCTCCGTCTGCATTGACAGATACTGACAGCAGATGTTACAGGAAGTGGTGGCAGATTGGCAGATCGTCTGCCTACCCTTGGACGGTCACCGTTCTTAATGCGCATGCCAAACGTCAATGCTCGGAATCCTGTGTGACTTTTTGGACAAAGAGCATGCCTGTTGAGTTATCGCTTGTTTGCTTCTGCCAGAAGTATTCACGTTGGTGTTACTCCATCAGATAGAATAATGCAACAAGGACGTAGCTTGATACATCTTGGTGCGAGCACGAGCTCCATACATTCCTATCCCATGGCATAATACGCAGAGTGGGAAATGATGCAGTACCTTCAATTGTGTGGATTCATTTAGGGCCTAAAATTGGACAATGGTGTCCTTTTTAATGAGGGACAATAGCTCTTTTGAGAACAAGAAGCCAGTAGTGACGAGGTCAAGATTGTGTGAAGGTTTTTTGACGTTTCGCATTCCTGCTTCAGGAACAGTTTACTAACAGTTTCATTTGAAAGATAGGTAGTCACTACTAATGTTTTATGTTCTGTTTCTATTCTACACCCTGTGTGTTTGAAGGGAGGCTTCTCATTGGCTGAGAGGTTGTCCAGACTCAGATTAGAGCACCTTGTAATCAGGATAGAAAGAGCAATTAGGGACTTTCATTTCAAAAAGAGAAGGAGCTCCATGCAGTGAAGTGAGTGTTAACACAAATAAAACTATGCAAATAATTTAATTTAACAATGTTATTTAACACACATTTTTAAAAAGAATATTCAAAATCATCATGTTCCCAGCTAAAAGTTTGTTCCCTCAGCAGTCAATGTTTTCCTCGCCGGCCCGCATGCCAAATGGATGTATAATGAATAGCATTATGGAAAGTGTTGCCCAACGTTTGTTTTGAATTTCTGAGGCAATGATTTGCATAACTCCTTTTGTGTTTTGCAGCTCGCCGGCATGGAGTCAGGATATGCTTGTTTCTGTGGCAACGAAGTGGAACAGCGTGACCACGGCGAGTCGCCTAGCATGGAGTGTAACCATGTTTGCTTCGGAGAACACACACAGCCCTGCGGGGGGGGACGGCTGGGTCATCATCTTTGACAGTAAGTCTGGGGGGGACATAACAACTTTGATTTGAAGATTTCCAGGGTAATATAAGTTACAACATACATTTGTATCTGTGGTAATAACCCCTGCTGGGGGGGAACTTGTCCTTGGGTTTGTCATCTTAACCTTCCAACTTCTTCCTCCAAATACTTTCTTTAATTAAGGATTCAGTTTGCCGCCAGAAGGCCCAGAAATAAATGTCCTTGTCACCAACAGCCCTCCTTTCCTCACACACAGTTGTGATCTATAGTCTTCCACAAGACTCTACATTGACACAATGTATTGTAAAATATTGGGCATGTTTAGTACCCGTTTGTCATGCATGAAAAGTCAAATCTTTTTAATTTGAGTAACATTTTGAATGTTTTATGAACGTCATTACAAGCTATCGTACCTTTTCACTCCTAATACCAACTCTTGTTCCTTAACTCATGTAATTGGCAACCAACTTAACAAATTCAGAAATACAGACATCAAATTGTGCATAGTTTCAGAAGCAAAAACTGTTGCCTGCCTGTACCAAATACTGATCCAATACCTCTCTCTTTCCCTAATTGAAACCTTCTCACCTCACTTAATGGAACTCATTGCGATTTTGATGTAAGGCAAAATGAGGTGACTCATTGCTTTAAAATAGCATTGTCAAATAAACTGTATTTAATGTGGATCAGTCACATCATTGAGTCATTCAAGTAATGTTAGGGACGATGACAATCGTAACCGATTCATTCTGTTACCGAGGCTCTCATGTGACCAACGGAAACCCGTTACCCAGTTTGTTGAACAATCTCAAAAGCTTCTAAATGTTGACACGGTCGTATTTTATCTAGTTTTTCTCTTTCTTCCAGCACGTGTGGGGGCCTGTGGTGGAAACTACTCCTCTCCATCCGGAGTGATCTACTCCCCTGATTTCCCAGACAAGTACGGGGCTGGCCGAGTTTGCTACTGGACCATCCACGTCCCTGGAGCCTACGCCATCCTCTTCAACTTCACTTTCTTTGAAATCTCCGACCAGACGGACATGGTGGAGCTCCTTGATGGCAACAACAACCAGGTGTTGGCGCGCTTCGACTGGCGCAGCCCTCCGAGGGAGCTAGTGAACGTCACAGGAGACTATGTCATTCTGTACTTCTACTCTGACCGCACCAACCAGGCCCAGGGATTTGCTCTGCTTTACCAAGGTAGGACTTTGACTTTTTGTATATTCAATGAGAATGATTGCATCGAAGGACAAATGTTGTAAAATGTCTCCAATATCTTTTCTAATGTATGGTTAGAGTTATAGCCAACATCCTGAACTACAGTGCTCATTTGCATAATCAGGTGCGTGCTGACTAGCCTCCTCCATGATGGAGTTTTGCATGGCAGCCCTGGTTTCAAGGACTACCGCCTTTTAGCTGTGGCGATGCAGTTGTCACGCCACTGGCAGGCCCTCTTCTCTTTCCATTTGCTAGTCAATGTCTCATAGCCCCGGGGTGATCCTGCATATTTAAATAATGTTTTGTTTTTCTAGGAACTCACTCTCTTATCAAGCAGCGGCAGGTTGCTTTGCTGCTCCAGAGCGCTCCTTGGTGAATTGCACAGCGAGTTCTTATGCCACCTACATACAACATTCTTGATTCATCGGGCCTTATGATAACGTGATTCCACTGTAGAGCAGACATACAGCTGGGGGACTAAAAGCTCTCAGAAAGTTCAAGACCTCACAGAAAATAATGGTTTTCATCTCCCCCAACTACTCTTTAGAATGTAGAAAAGTGAATGGTAAAAAAAGTAAAGCTGTTGTATTACTATACGTCATCTCAGAATGAGCCTGACTGCACCAACAATGATTTAATAGACTAATTCTGGAGGCATGAGAGGAGCACACCGTGATATCATTCAGTGTAGGTGACATTCAAGCTCACAGCTCACTACTCTTGGAGGCAATCTGTCCCTGCTCTTTCCCCTCTGTCTTCATTTATAATCCTCTGTCATTTTTCTTGCCGCTAGCATTACAGTAAAAACAATATTGGAAGGTCAAAATCCGCTGACCTCTGGACAGGCACAATCCCTTCTGCTCTCGTCGAGGTTCTTGTTTTACGTGAGGCATAGTGGTAGCAATAAATGGAATCTGTGACATGATATGAGAAAAGGGTCACCTCCTGTAATAGGGTTGATTTTTCTCAGCGAGATAGAGATAAGAACACATACTGTAGTGACCTGGGTGCAGAAAGAAATAACATAAACAGGAAGACAACAGTTCGACAAAGTTAAAGTATACGCACTTAATATAGCTCATATCTATTTTATGGCAAGTTTAGCAATCGAAGCAGTCATTTGAAAATAAACGCTCTCAGTTGAAGAATGGTATTTCTTTTGCAAATGGGAAACATGTGGGAAGTTCTGGGAACATCACTGTCAGGTTGAACTGTAATGTGTTAAGAACACTCATTAAATCCCAATGAGTTGAGGCAGAGCAGCTGGAGTACGTCAAAGGGAGAACCAGTAAACATTTGTTTTTATCTCTCATAACTCCGCTAAATAGAAGCAGTGATTAGCCTTAGGGTGTTTTGTGAATGTGAGTCAAAGCTGAGAATTACAATGATTTGTATTACTCATCAATTGTGATTTTGTTCCCACTCAATTCAAAGAGACACAAACCTAAGGTTGAGGCACATTTTAAAAGCTTAATTTATTTCTAACTGATACATTTCTGAGGTGTTTTTCTCAAACAAAGCGTACTGCAAATGAACATTTAGGAAAAGATAATGAAAGAGTGAAGTGCAACATGCCACAGTTTGTTTCTCAGAAGCAAGAACATTCTCAAATAACACAGTGATTTTAAATAAATCACGTCTGTGTTTAGGAGAAGTAAATGAAAGGCAGAGTTGATTTTATTTATATATTGCTTTCCTCCGGGAACTCGTAAATGAGTCGAAATAGTTCAGGCTCTCTGGCACTGCTGCTTTATGAACAAACTGTACCACATCTGGCGCTGTAAGCAGGTTAAAACAAACATAAGTTATTGCACACAGTTCTTTGAATAATGTGGGGGGGGGGGGCATAGAAGCTCTCACCACACCGCATGTTTACAGCACACATGAGTGTTTTTGCAAAGTCGATCTGTTTCTTTACAATCGCATGAAATATTCACTCGTGACTGCCGTGTATGCTTTCAACGACATGATCAGCGTGATGTGTCCTATTACTGCGTGCCTGCTAAACAGCACACTTTACCCGCAGGAGTAATTAAAGGGGCGTTAAGTGATACGTGTCCTCAACTTGTAGAAATGACATGGCAGAGCTTTTCCACATCTGGGTCTCCGGCACAGCATACATTGCTCGCCTAACTGGAGCTGTGAAAGCCTGGATATAATAGATAGAAGAGGAGGTATATCAGATCTTTAACAGTACTCTAATATGGCTGGAATTAAGTAGGAATACAGGATTCATAAAAAGATAGAATAACTTCATGAAGATGACAAAAATGAACGATAAAGTTGTTTCAGTAATGGAGGTGGATGGTAGCCTCTTCCATATCTCAGAACTTATTTCCAAGCCATTCCTTATGTTGTATGCTTATCTATTCATGGTTATGCAAATGTCTAAGAGCGAAATAAAGACTTTGGGGAGAATTCACAAAATATATGGTGGTAAGGATATTACAGCGCACATCCAGTTGTGTAGTTGTGCAGTACACTTTGGCCTTTTGTGTGCTTTACAACAAATAAAACACTTTAAAAGCATTTAAATATACAACTGAAACTTGTCTTTAAAATGACATTTAAATACATAAATTAAATTAAATATAAAAGGAGATTTATTATTTATTTATATGTCACAACTGGCATCCCGTGCATCCTAAAATAAATTCGTTTTTTGCTTTAGTAAGCACCAACTATATTTCCCTGTAACTGTGTGATTTTCAATGTTGTATTTATCCAATTGCCAAATATCTTAAGTGTTGTGATCACTTTTATTTGGTGTTATTTTTGCTTTGGATGGGAGGGACATTTGTGCGCAACTCTGATGAGATCAGCCACAAAATGTCACGGCACATTGATTTTTATCTACAGGTCGACTAATCTAGCTTTTCATGAACTGTGTCAAAAATGTCATTCAGTGTTTGAATATATCATGTTGTCCTCTGCTTTAAAAACTCCTCTCTCTATCAGTTATTACCTTAGAAGCTCACTGAAGCACTGAGATAATTGTGTCATTTTACGAAGATCCAGTTCTAAATATTAGGGGGAAACTTTAAAGAAACGCCATAATAAGAATTCTACTAAGAACTTTAGTATAATTTCATCACTAAAAGCAACTCTTTGCATGTGTAAGCTTTGTGAGTACAGCCACAGCTCTCTTGCACAGGAGAAGGTGGAATCCAAAAGCAGATCTACAACGAGAATACTGAACGTACATTGAATGGAACACCGCTCCAAATAATCATTAATGTTGCACTGCGTCTGCTTGAAGTTAACAACATCTACTATGAGAACCTGTCCAAATGACCTCACTTTTTGTCTCCCCAGCACTGAGAAGCCAAGACACCACAGCAATGGAGGGCGAAGGAGGTGAGGATGATGAAGCGGAGGACGTCTCGAGCACGGCGGGGCCGCAGCTAGCTGGCGGCATCACAGAGAGGTCCAACAGCACCTCCAACGGACGCTCCTCCCAGATCCTCTACGTGATCACGTCCAGCCCCGGGAAACCGGAGCACAACATGCCAGGTCAGTGGGCTGGACGCGGCGAGACCACCAGCCACAGCGCTAGTATGTTAACACCCCCCATACACTGCACCTCTCTCTACCTCTGCAGGGATGTTGCGGGAGGTTTCTTGGAGCTCGAGCTTCCAATTTGCATGACCTGGTTTTCTCGGAAAGTATTTAAGAAATCCTCTTAGTTTGATGAGAGGCTTCTGGGAGCTTCTGCCCATAGTGACTTCCTGTGATCACACATAGATGTAATTCTACTTGACGCTTGTTTTTCTTGTCAATGACTCACAACTGAAGTTACTTTGGGTCTCCCTGCTGATCACAAACAGGCGTCTTGTCAAAGCTGCGCAGGGTGGACAGATGTGTTCAGGGCTTTTCTCTTTTCCTCAAATATCACTCTTTCCAAACTCTGAGCGCTCTGTCTCCAAGGGCGATCTGATGTTCTTCTCAACAAATGCAAAGTGCATTACTATTTCTTGACACATTGCTGGCTGAAGGCTGCTCACAGGTGTGCCTGCAGCGCTGTTTGAATCATCTTTGGCTTTTCAGTCTGCTTTACTTCCTTTTCATTACCCTGGTGATACATCTGATTGATCTGATTGATTTTAACTGTGTTGCTCCCTCTCCGCAGTGTGGACCATTTATGCTCTGGCAGCTCTCCTCATTCTGACAGTCATCGCCATGGTGGCGAAGCTGCTGCTCCATATGACAGTCAAGTAAGTATTAGGATGTTTCGAGGTGTGCATGATCATCCAAGCATCAAATGTGAAAGTAGAATCTGTAGGATTATTCTTCCTTCATGTCATATTGGAACATGTGAAAGACGAGGAAGACATTCCCACAGTGGTTACATTTGAATGTGACTGTAGCATCCTACAAAGTAAAATGATTGCGTTCTTCATGTTTAGCCAAGGTTCAACCCAGAGCGACTTCCTATGATCACACATGATTGAAAATGCTACATGACGTTTGTTTCTTCCTGTCAGTGATTCATAACTTAAGTTACAGCTAAACAGGGGAAATAAAGTAGCCACAAAGGAAATGGAATCCAAACTACTCTATTGACCATCTTAAGTATTTGTTTGTGTTTGTTTAATCTTTTTCTTTCATCACCTCGATTGGACTCCTTTGTTTCCTTCCGTAACATAGTGACATCCCCACGTAACTCTAAGCAGTTGAGCAATCAGAGGGTTGTGGTTTCAGACAGAGGGTGAAAAGAGGTGCTGCAGCACAGGCAGTGTGAGAAGAATAAAGAGCTTTTTGAACATTAAAGCATGGAGACATGTCACAGGAGAGACACTACATACAAATTTGAACCTGGAAATTAGCATAACTATGCTATCCCTTTAGGATTTGAAAAGCAAAGCATAAGCTATTATTTCCCAGATGATGATCTAGGGCTGCTCGATTATGGCAAAAATCCTAATCTCGATTATTTGGGTCAATAATTGATATCACGATTATTAAAAATGATTATCCATTTATTTTGAAAACATCAATTTATTGGAGAATTTTTTTTGAACAGTATGTTTTTAACAGTTGATTACCCTGAACTTTAAGTATAACTCAACTGAAAACCAATAAAAAAAATGTTTTATAAAAAATGTACTAATAGGTCTCTTGAAAATAAATGAATTTCTGTTACCCAGTTTTTCTTCCCCCTAAATATTAATTTAGTAAACACCAATAATTTGGAAGTAAGTTTAAAGCAGAGTTTTTACTACACAGTGATATCTTCCTTTACGTTTTTTAAACTGAATGACACAATGTTTAATATTTTTCCATAGTTACAGTGATATCTATTTTACCAACGTAGGTAACATTGCTGCTTTTAGGTATAGAAAACTAAGAGTTTAGATTTTGAATATTAATAGTAGTGGATTCAGTTCGATTAAACATATAAAGTGGAAGATAATGAAGCCTATTAAAGCATCCACTGCTGTTAATGCCATTAGTCAAAGTGTATTGGAAGCCAGGCATGGAATGACACCGTGACAGTGCGACACCATTTACAAATCCCTGACTTTCCAATACCATCTTTTCTAATTCCTCTGTTTCCCCCTCTCTCGTGCTCTCCTCTTCTCTCTCTCCCTTTCCCCTCTCAGGTCTCAGAACATCCCAACGGTGAGCGGTTCAGACAGCTGCAGTCAGAGCACCGCGTCCTCTGAGCCCTGGATCATCCTGTACCGGCCCTCCACCATCTCCCTCTTCAAGAAGAAGCTAAAGAACCACCACGGCGACCTCAGCCCCCTGGTGGGCAACTAGCTGCGCACCACCACTAACCAAACGCCACCGCCAAACACAACTGCTCTGTACGATGGCCGTCAGGAGCCAGGCCCTCAGACAATGAAACTATAGGAGGCGCTGCGCCAACACGAACAACTGAGTGGCTAATGACAAGTGACTGCTAAGAAATGGCATTTGAGCCCAAGTGGCCCTCCCACCCTGCTCAGCACCAAAGAGGAGTGGGACAGGCAGGGCTGTCACTGAGTGTGGGGGCCAAAGAGGACGCTCTGACAGAGATACAAGGAAGAAAGTGAGGCTCCATTTCCATCGCCCATGGATGTCCCTTACAGTCAGCATACCTCCTGAAAACCTTCCAGACTGCAGGCTCACCAGAGAAAACACAAGCTGCTGCAGATTAACGGCTTACTGTCTGTTTCGGAAACGGGGAGGTAAACCTCTTCCCGGTGCTTCAGAGTCACAGCCTTCATCAGCAGCAAGGAGAGGATGAAGAAACTTTGATTCACACTTTACAGTTTTGTAACAGCCAAAAACCAGAATCCTCCCATCCCTCAAAGTTATCTATTTATTTGTCTTTTTGAGTCCATATGCAAAGTGCTAATGTGTCCTTTTTGTTGTGCTTCACGTAACAACTAGCTTTCTGAGAAGAGGGAAACGGGATACAGAAACGCCATTCTGAAGGTAGATATCACAGCACTTTGGGGATGAATCACTCGCCATAAAAATGAAAAGATCACAGAGCGCTCGCCCACTCAGCACTCATGTGTATTTGCGTGTAGAGATAACTAGTGTTGTTCCCCTTGAGTGGGGGTTGGGTGGTGCAGTTTGCAGACAAACTGCCATTAGGGAGGCTTGGGAAGATCTGAGGGCTTTTTCTGCTCGGTTGTGGGTGGGAGTCTTTTTGGTTTGATGGTGTTCAAGTGCCTTAAGGAGCTCCTCTTCCCTTGTCTCAGATGCATCACATCTGTTTCGGGTCCCTCACTCAAGTCTTTATAATCAGCGTGGATGTGAAGAGTTTCATTCCGAAATAGGATTGCTACCACTTAAATGTAAAGTAAAGAAAAAATGCTACATCTTGTACAGAGATTGAAAGCATTAAGTCTTTTAAAACATATTCCACTCAACTGAAAACCTCTCCGGATATTTTACATTTTTACTACATGATGGACATGAGGATATATCATAATGAACATTTTAGGATAGAACTCTTCATGTAGAAACGGACAAGGCTTTGAAAAAAAAACATTTGTTTCTAATTTCTTTGTGTGCTCTTATGTGTAGTCTTGGACATTTACTGAACATATTGTTCTTATTAAGTTGTCTTTTAATTACGGGAGGCGGGGTGAATATTGTTGTATATTATGTAATTCAGTGATGATATTTATGTCCCGCCCTTTCATTTTGTGTCTCGTCAAGGGCATTTGAAAAAAGTAATTTCTCGTCAACTTCGCCTAAAGGTATAGACTGATTGGTTTTTCTCCCCTTTTCACAGTGGTACATTTCTTAAATTCTACAAGACTAATATTAAGAATAAGATCAACTTGTATCAACAATAACATCATTAATAATAATACATTTAATTTCTAAGCGCTTTTTCGGGTGCTCAAAGACACTTTACAGTGGTATTAAAAGGAAATAAAATAAATGTAAAAAGTTAAATTAAAATATTAAAACAAAAACACAACATTATTCACACATTAAAATTACACATGAGCCCGAATACACACATGTACAATCAACCTATAGACTATAAGAGGGTTGGCCGAGCGAAAGGGCTGCCAGTGTTCCGGCGCGGGGGGGGGGGGTGTACAGTTAAGGACACCTCAGCATTGCCACGAAGCCTAACTGACACCTCTCCAGCTTGACACAACTGACACTTGTTTAGACGCTTTTATCCAAAGCGACTTACATACTCAATACAGCTACCATTCAACACTCTGTATTTTGGTCGATCGAGTCTTGAACCTGCGACCCTTCGGTTCCCATGCCAAGTCCCTACTGCCGCCCAGGATTCTGCATTGACCCATTCTAGTATTAGGAGCAGTGGACAGCCATTATGTATGGTTAGGAGACGGTGCCTTGTTCAGGGGCACCTTCGTACTACTTAGGCATTCTGGGACTCGAATCGGTGACCATCCGGTTCCCATGCTAAGTCCCTACGGCCTGGGCCACCACCGCTCTTGAACTTGCTTGATATCAAGCCAAATTATTTTAACGCAAACAATATCCCCAGACAGAAATATAACCAGCTGTCCTAGCTGTCACGATTTTCTGTGCCATTGCTGTGACATTTAAACTCCTTGTGAAAGGTCAAATGTAAAAGCTTGCCATCGGCGTAGGTATGATAGTCACCCCAATCATTCTCTGACAGGATAAATAGAAATTATGTTTGAAAACCGCAGCGCACTTACATTTGCTTCCAATTACAAGATGAAATAGTACTTCTTGAGTTTTGCATTCAGTTTCAGTGAAAACGTACTTAGTGCAGCAACCTGAGCATTTGAGACAAAAGGAGAAACACGATGCAGCATCACGGGGACATTCAAGTCAGAAAATGTACAGTTTTCCAAGAATCAGAAAACATTTGAAGCCTTTAAAAAAAAAAACTTTTCTTTTGTCAATCAGAAGTTTTGTAAAAATGTGAGGCTATATTCTCCCTGTCTGCTCAACTGTACTCATGTTAATTATTGCAAGACAAGAACACATGCCCCTGGGTCTGTGATGTTCGGAGGCAGACCATGCGTACAGAAAGGGAGAAAAAAAAGAGGCCGTAGATGTGGGAGCGATGGGAAATTAATGTGCGTTCTCATCAAACACAAGCTAACGGAATCTGACGGTTAAAATCTAACAAGGGCATATTTGTTTGGACAGCCTGGTGAATTATGCAAACTCCCATCCTCCAGTCAATCGGAAAATTCCACGCTTTCTTCTGAGCGGTGGAAATGGTCTTTTCCCAAACTGTCGTTGACGTGATTGTCGTGTAGTGTTCGATGACATGAAAACCTCACCGGAAGCCCTGTGGGAAATCATCTAGAGGGGCCAAAACATTGTTTTCATGAAATTGTACATAGCAAAAAAAACGTGAAATGTTTAATTTATGCAGTAAATTATTGTTATTTTGTATGTGAATGGGATATATATTTTGTATAAGTGAAGTATCTTTGTAGTTTTATTTAACGTGTCCTGGTTGCAAAATAAACACTGTATGCATGTTTTTTAAACTGGTGTTGTGCTTATTATTGTGTTTATGTTCAATGCTCTTCAAGATGTATGCATGCACTCAAGTGGCAGAGAAGCAGGCCCAGTTCAAGCTAATCCCAGACTGCAGTGTTTGGATGGTGCAACCTACCCTTCTTTTTTCTATGAAGTTAAATATTTATCAAATATGCAAAATTAATCCCAGACTGCTTAGATACACACACACACACACACACACACACACACACACACACACACACACGCACACATACGCAGGAAGGATTTAAAGTGCCATGTGTAACCCATTGGTTTCCCTCCAGGATGAGGTCAAGCATGCAACCTGCACATGTTAGAGGGTAACAGCAGGAGGTCAGCTTTACAACTGGAACACCATGAACAAAACAAACATGGAAGGACGTGTAACAAGCTGGAACACTCTGGATGTTTGCTATGGATATTTCTTAATTCATAAAAGGTGTTTCTGAGTTTTTATTTCAACAAGTGCTCACTCTGTAACTGTTTAAGTGCTGGTTTTGTTTCTGATGAACTGGGCAGTGGTGTGTGCTATTTAACCCTAACCCAAAGACAACTGGCATTGCAACTCTATGCAAAAGTAAAGGGATTCTGACAAATGTGTGCACGTGCTTCCACACAGCTTCCTGTAGATGTGCATGTGCAACAACAAAGGCTCACTTTGGGTCAAAAACACAAAGTTGAAACTGTTTAAGTCTCCCTTAAAATGCTGTAAGACATCCAATAATTAAAAATCTTGTGCCCTGTGGAATCTCCGAAGCTTCTGAATTGAGTATTTGAGAACTTTATTATTTAATAATCCTATACATGCTCTCAGAAGTTGAGGTCACAAATCAGTAAGTCTCTCTGCGGCCATCTTCAACCTGTGACTGAATAATATAATCAATATAATAATAATACCATAATATTGTAACAATTTACAGGTAGTGTATAAACCTGTTCAAGTACATTATAAGTTCTACCAAGCTTGATGCATTTTATGGAAAGTAGTTCAAACCACTTTTTTAGTGTGCAGCCTTTGGCACTTCAGTACATTATGTCCTCCAGAAGAGCAACCAAGAGGGCACTTATGCTGGCTTTTTTTTCAAATATGGGGACACTGTAATGCTACACTTGGCTTCAGGTTATTTGCAAATGCAATAGTTTCATCATTTTACCATAACCACACACATCCAAGCACAAACAAGAGTAACTGATCCTCTTACTCCCTCTATTGGTGACAATGTTTGAGCACATTTCCTCAAAAGCATCCTAACAGTGATTCTTGATAACAGTTGTTGCTCCTTTGTGTAGTAAATGACCTTCATTAGCCACACATAAGCCAAACACATGTTGGATGAACGCTTTAGTTTGAGACACACTAGGTTACAAAAGATTTCTTAACTGAGGTTTTGTGGGATCTCCTAAAGAAATGCTGGCATCCACACAACCACATAGAGAAATTAAATCTTTGTGGCCGTCCACTTAACCTCAAAATGTGTTTTTTTTTCTCAATAGCAATTGTGTGTGCTGTAACATTAATCCAAAGCTAGGCTTGGTGCATAATCACCACTCCTCTAGGTCCATGTGAAAAAAGCCTACCTTCCCATAGGCAAGGAAAAGAGGGCGATGTAAGTTGATTCCTCTGAACCCAAGTCGACCAGTAATTAAAGGCAACAATGGGACAATACAGGGCCGTGTCTAGTTACTGTCAGAACGAGAAAGTGAGAAGAATGGAGGACAATACCTGCCCCTTTTTGCACTCAGTGTACTGAAGTCAGGTAGATTAGGAGAGAGGGACTGTTAGAGGAAAAAGTAGCAGGTCTACCCTGATGGGTTTGGAAAGACACTGTGAGAAAGAAGTTTTCTGGCTGTGCTGGAACTTGTCCGTTTGATCCGCGCTGATCAGCAATAACGTCTATGACCCTGGTGCAATTAAAGCACTTTCATGCCCTTAAGTGGTTTTAGAGTATACGTGCATTGGCATGCTTGAAATGTTCCTTCTATTGTTGTAGCTCAACGCTGCTGAAAGCTGTTTATATACGCTGTCTCTATACCTCAGCCTTCTGGACAGCGTATTAGTGCTGACAAATAAAAATAACCATTTAATTAAACAAATCATTTACATGGTAAATATTCCCTCGCTCCTCTTTCTCACAAGGATGTGTTGCTTTTGTGTCATTGCAAAGTGGATAAGCATAAACACCAATGGTAGAACTGTTACATCCAAAATGACAACAAGTTTACCTTACATCTTTCTAAAACAGTATCTACAAAAACAGATTATAACTTTCAGGAAGGATACATTTACTAAAGGACTGATGTGTTGAATTAGTTTGGCTCATGTGTAGACTATTTAATAGCCTGCTACAGGCATGGGTGTCACTTTGTATTGCAAAGTGGTGACAGACATTTCAGATCAAAATGTATTTTACTGGTAACTGTATGCTATGTTATATCTGTGACTATTTTAAGAGATGTCAACTGTAAAGTATGAAGCCCTTTGAACTGCAATTCTGTATTCTATGTATTCTTGGTTGCTACAGACCACCTTCAGCTGTCAGTGATACTTTACCATCTTTAATGCAGCTTTTGTCCAGTCTTAACTATACTGAAATTGTCATTGTGGGTAACCTTAACTGGAACTGGCTGCTACCAGCATCTGATGATGTTAAAACATACTGCAATTCCTTAAATCTCTTTCAGATGGTTGGCAGACCCACTAGACCCAATCTGAAATCTCCTGAAAAATCCTCCTTAATTGATCTAATCCTTACAAATGCTTCTCATAAATACACCCCTGCTTCTGTATTTGCAAATGACATCAGTGACCATTGTGTCATTGCCACGGTACGGAATACAAAAGTCCCTGAGACAAAACCCCGTATCAGCATAAAGCGTGATATGAAACATTTTGTAGAGCAGGGTTTTTTTCCACGACCTGTTTCTATTTGATTGGGACAAAATCAATCTCATTGCAGATGTTGAAACTGCCTGGACATTATTTTATGATGGTTTTATTAAAATAGTTGATAGGCATGCCCCCTTAAGAAACTACAGAGTAAAAGGCAGAGACAATGCATGGTTCACATCAGATCTTTCTGATTTACTACACGAGCGCAATGTGGCATGGTCAAAAGCCAGGAGTACAGGTCTTGGGTCACATTGGCTGCTCTTCAGGCAGCTGCGAAATGCATTTACCGTTAAAATCAGAAACAGCCAAAGCGGATCATCTCCTAACTGAAACTTCAGACAACCTAAATAATCCCCTTAAATTCTGGAAAACTATTAAATCATTAGCTGGAAACAAAAATGTTATAGAGCTTCCACATTGCATTGTGAAGGAGGACTCTGGTTCTCTGTTTACCTCGCAGAACATAGCTCAAGGAGCCACTGATCGCTCTGACGGTGGTATCTGGGAGGGTGAACCGTTTAATTTTATTCCAGTAACAGTCTCAGAGGTGCATAAAGCCCTGAAAAGTTTGGAACCAAGAAAATCAGCAGGTCCTGACAACCTGGAGCCATACTTTTTAAAGTTAGCAGCTGATTTTATAGCTTTGCCCTCGGCTTATCTTTTTAATCTGTCCTTGGAGACAAACGAAATTCCCCTTATTTGGAAATCTGCTTTTGTTCTCCCACTGTTAAAAGGGGGTGACCCCACTCTAAACAACTACAGACCCATCTCCAAATTATGTGTTTAAATAAAGTACTGGAATCTCTGGTCAATTTCCAATGAAGGAGTTTTTATCAATAAATAATATTTTATCTGAGTTTCAATCTGGTTTTAGGAAAAAAACACAGCACTACAACAGCTGCCTTAAAAGTAGTAAATTATCTTATTTACTTCTTAGACAATAGAGAGCATTGCGCAGCACTTTTTATTGACTTGTCAAGGCTTTTGACACAGTGGATATTGCCTTACTGTTACAAAGACTTGTTAGAATCGGTCTTTCAGGTATGGCTGTCTGTTGGTTTCGAGAACTTATCTTTCATGCAGATCACAGTGTGTGCGGGCAGAAGGCTTAACTTCAACATCTCTTCAGGTATCCAAGGGTGTGCCACAGGGATCTGTTTTAGGACCATTGTTATTTATTATTTACATTAACAGTCTTAATAACAATGTTTTGAATGCAAATTTGCATTTTTATGCTGATGAATACAGTTATTTATTGTTCTGCGTCCACCCCCGAAGCAGGCTCTTTGTCAGCTCCAGAATGCTTTTAACATTGTACAATCCAAACATGTGTGATTTGAAACTTGTTTAAAGTGCTGCCAAGGACAAAGCTAATGATGTTCTCGAAAGCAAAACCAAGGTTTTGAACCTTCCTCCTATCACCACCTTGCAGGGGATGGAGATTGAATCTGTGTTGCAGATATAAGTATCTTGGGAATTATAATTGACTATTCGCTTTCTTTTTAAACCACACATTGTGGAACTCTTGAAAAAAATTAAGAATAAAAATCAGGTTTTTTTCTTTAGAAACAAGTCTTGTTTACCTATGAGGCCAAAAAGAGACTAGTGTCTGCAAACCTTTCTGTCTGTGCTGGATTATGGAGATGTGGTTTATATGAATGCATCTTCTCAGTGCCTTCACTCGCTGGATACCGTCTACCACGGGTGCACTGAGATTCATCACACAACCTCAGATCCTTGACGCACCCACTGCATCTATACACTCGTGTTGGATGGTCTTCCCTGACCACGCGTAGAGTCGACTGGAAACATTGGCACATCCTTATATTATAAGGCTATTCTTGGTGCTCTTCCCCCTTATCTAAGGATGTATATAAATAGAAAATGCACAGGATCCTATCGGCTTCGATCCGAGAAATGTTATTTTGAACTGTACCAAAGGTCCGTACTGAACTTGGGAAAAGAGCGTTCAGTTATGCTGCCCCTCAAGCTTGGAACCTGCTTCAAAACTGAGCTGAAACTCAGAGAGCTGGGTTGCGTTCCGATAATCCAAAAATCAGCTCCTAAATTCTAACCCTATCTCCTATTCCTTGACCTCTGAGTGAAACGTCACGGGGTTAAGGGATAGTGGATAGGAGAATTCAAAAGGACTTAGGAGAAAGAGGAGACTGCGGTACATTAGAGAATCCGAATGCACTTTCACTATCCGACGTGTTTATGATGCGCCAGCGGACCGTCATGAATGTGGCGTCTGCTGCTGTTGGGGAAACTATGGAAACTACAGTTTTCTATACAGCGGTTGTATAGAACCCGGCTCATGGGCTGTAACATAAAACAGGGAGGCGAGACGAGAGGGTAAGAATATCTAGTTTATTTGTTTCAACACAACACTAAATGGGCACCAGCATCAGGTCCCCGAAGCTGGCACAGAGAGAGTGCCCAAAGGAGTGATGGCCCCTACACACGGCGGCGTGCGTTGCCGCTGTCAACGCTTCTGCCCAATTCACTTTGAATGGGGGTGACGTTACGATTTGCCGAACTGCATTGTGGGAGCAAGCGTAGCTTCTCTCGCGGTGCTCGCTGCAAAAGTAGAGCAATGTTCTACTTTTGCCGCCCTCGACGGAGGCGTCAGCCAATCAAATCCTGCGTATGCAAATCTGACAGCACAAGCGCTAGCCAATCAAACCGCGTGTATGTTGGGAGAGCCAGACCGCAGTTATTTCCCATATGTCAAAAAATGGAGGAGAAATTATCGTGGCGGTAGGTACTACCCGGTACTATATGACCAGTCCCTCTTTACATACAGGGATACA